AGCTGTGTTCCCCAGGCTGTACCTGAGATCCCAAGAATGTATCCATCTTACAAAACTGAAACTTTGTACCCATTTTGGATAGGACAAAACAGAAGGTTAAACAGTCCAGTGGTACAGAGCCGAGCAGAGGGGTTCAATAAATATTTATTGGAATCATTCACAGTGATATGAGGGGATGCTATGTGCCAAAGCCACACAGGGGTGGGAATGGTGGAGGAATGGTTTGCTCCTTCATACAAGTCTGACCAAACCCCACCTGGCTTAAAGCCAACTTCCTGTCTGCTCTGCACGTGCTGCTGAGTGTTGGTGCAGAAAAGCAGGCAACTGTACTGACTAGCTTCCTCTAAATTCATAATCGCTGTTCAAAATGGGCTCTTAGTGCTGCCCAGCAATAATCCTGACTCCAAACATTCCCTCCCCTTTATCATTCATACCTTTTCTGCTCATCTCAAATTTCCAAAACCTCCTTTGTCCGCACCTGGGCCGCAGCACTCTGCCCTCGTCCTAAGGCCTCACCCTCTACTCATCCTGTAGATCCCATTCCCTCACCTATCCATGGCGTCATCAGTTGCCGTCCTCTTCTCACTCATTCCCTTCAGCCTACTAACATCCTGTTATTTCTCCATTTTCAAAAATCCCTTTACAGTCCCACAGCCCTCCCAGCTGCTGTCCTCCTGTCTCTGCTGCCCCCTTCAGTCAAAACTCCTAGAAAAAAGAGTCCACGCTCACCTCCTGGAATTTGTCTCCTCCATTTCTCTCTTGACTCCACTCCCATAAGGCCTCTGGCTCCATGACTCCCCTGAAATGGCCCCTGTTGAGATCGCAATGGCATCTCCATTTCTAACAACAGCCAGTGTTCAGTAATTGTCTTATCTGCAGCCTTTGGCACAATTTATCATGACACGTACACCCTCCTTGAAATACTGTGTTCCCTTGCCTTCCAGGACACCTACATTCTTCTCGTTTTCCACCCGCCTAATAGGCTGCTTCTTCTCAGTCTCCTTTGCTGGCTCCTTCTCAGCATCCCCACAAAGGTTAGGTAATCTCATCCAGTCTCATGGCTGTTGAGATAACACAGGGTCGTATTGTCAAATCAGACTTACAAGAATCGTAGATGTGGGCTTCCCTGGTGGCGCAGTGGTTGAGAGTCCGCCTGCCGATGCAGGGGACGCGGGTTCGTGCCCTGGTCCGGGAAGATCCCACATACCGCGGAGCGGCTGGGCCCGTGAGCCACGGCCGCTGAGCCTGCGGGTCCGGAGCCTGTGCTCCGCAACGGGAGAGGCCACAGCAGTGAGAGGCCCGCGTACCGCAAAAAAAAAAAAAATGAATCGTAGATGTAACCCAGTGTCAATCTTTGCTAATAACTTCCAGGATGCTGGTAATGATGAGACACAGACAAATACAGGGAAACCCCACCTCATTTAACACAGCTATGCATGTCCTTTCTCAGCATTTTGGGATGTACTCTAGGCAAGAGTCAATACATGAGGTTTCTGGGAAGTTCATGGAATGATCACTAACATGAAATCTCTCAGTTATATAAACTGTCTCATCATTCTTCACTTGATAAAATGTCTTCATTATCCCTTAATAATTGCATAGCTTATGACATTTTCAGAGAGCCTTACCTCATAAATTCATATATTCTAGTTTACTGTAAGCAGACTTAGACCAAGTGTTTCCTGCTAAATGCATTCCATAGATAAGAACTCTTTTCCAGTAAATGCCATTGTATATAAGTACCGTTAGCATATTTACAAGGGGATTTGACCAACGCATCTTTCTTGTTTTGCTTGGGTCAGAAATATGAGAAAATGGATAGTAGGCCTGATGCTAACCCTTTCCTTTCCAGCTCTACGTGCACCTATGACTTCAAAATCGGTGTCTACAACCCGCAACTCTCTCCTAAATTCCAAAGCCATACATTGAGCTAGCCACTCAACATTTTGACTTAGTTGTGTAGGAGGTTTTCGAAATGAGTATGAGCACAGTAGAAATAGTGATTCCTTTTCTCAACCCCCTAAACACACAGACACACACACACATAGGCACACACGAATACACACACACCTTTCTTCTTCCAAGTCTCCCCATCTCAGTAATAGTCTCTCCTGCCCTCTGTCTTCTCAGGGAAAAACATTACTTCCTGCTTGATTTCCTGTCCTCTCCCACCATGTATCCAACCTGCCTAAAAAAATTTTCCATTTCTACCTTCAAAATATATCCAGAACTCAACCACTGCTCCATCCCTACCTCAATCACTGCTTTCCTGATTCAAGCCACCACCATCTCTCCATGGACCTTGCTGAAATAACCTCTGACCTGCTTCTCTGCTTCCTGCTTCCATCCTTGTCCCCACGAGTCTATTCTGAATATATCAGCCAGATGGCTGTCTTTAAGAGATTAGTCATATTGCGTCATCCACAGCTCGAAAGTCCCCGGTGGTTCCCAAATCTCTCAGAATAACAGCCAGAGTTCTTATAAAGGCCTTCAGGGATCTATACATCCTGGATCCCCATTAACTCTCTGACTTCATCTACTATTCGTAGATGTAACCCAGTGTCAATCTTTGCTAATAACTTCCAGGATGCTGGTAATGATGAGACACAGACAAATACAGGGAAACCCCACCTCATTTAACACAGCTATGCATGTCCTTTCTCAGCATTTTGGGATGTACTCTAGGCAAGAGTCAATACATGAGGTTTCTGGGAAGTTCATGGAATGATCACTAACATGAAATCTCTCAGTTATATAAACTGTCTCATCATTCTTCACTTGATAAAATGTCTTCATTATCCCTTAATAATTGCATAGCTTATGACATTTTCAGAGAGCCTTACCTCATAAATTCATATATTCTAGTTTACTGTAAGCAGACTTAGACCAAGTGTTTCCTGCTAAATGCATTCCATAGATAAGAACTCTTTTCCAGTAAATGCCATTGTATATAAGTACCGTTAGCATATTTACAAGGGGATTTGACCAACGCATCTTTCTTGTTTTGCTTGGGTCAGAAATATGAGAAAATGGATAGTAGGCCTGATGCTAACCCTTTCCTTTCCAGCTCTACGTGCACCTATGACTTCAAAATCGGTGTCTACAACCCGCAACTCTCTCCTAAATTCCAAAGCCATACATTGAGCTAGCCACTCAACATTTTGACTTAGTTGTGTAGGAGGTTTTCGAAATGAGTATGAGCACAGTAGAAATAGTGATTCCTTTTCTCAACCCCCTAAACACACAGACACACACACACATAGGCACACACGAATACACACACACCTTTCTTCTTCCAAGTCTCCCCATCTCAGTAATAGTCTCTCCTGCCCTCTGTCTTCTCAGGGAAAAACATTACTTCCTGCTTGATTTCCTGTCCTCTCCCACCATGTATCCAACCTGCCTAAAAAAATTTTCCATTTCTACCTTCAAAATATATCCAGAACTCAACCACTGCTCCATCCCTACCTCAATCACTGCTTTCCTGATTCAAGCCACCACCATCTCTCCATGGACCTTGCTGAAATAACCTCTGACCTGCTTCTCTGCTTCCTGCTTCCATCCTTGTCCCCACGAGTCTATTCTGAATATATCAGCCAGATGGCTGTCTTTAAGAGATTAGTCATATTGCGTCATCCACAGCTCGAAAGTCCCCGGTGGTTCCCAAATCTCTCAGAATAACAGCCAGAGTTCTTATAAAGGCCTTCAGGGATCTATACATCCTGGATCCCCATTAACTCTCTGACTTCATCTACTATTACCCACCCCCCACCCCCCACCCCCCCACACACACGCCCATTCACTTTATCTCAGACACACTGGCCTCTTCGCAGTACCTCAAACAAACCAAGCCCATGCAGCCTCTGGACCTTTATAATGCTCCATATTCAGCCAGGAAAGCTCATTCCCCCAGGTGGCACATGGCTTGCTTTTCTAATCTCCTTCAGATGTTGGCTTAAATGCGCCTTCTTCATAAGACATTCCCTATTCCCTGATCACCTCTTTAAAATTGTAATTCCCATCTTCCCCAGGATCTATCTCTTCTTAGTTTTTTATCCTCCTCCCCACTTATCACCATCTGAAATACTATACAGTTTAACCTTTCAGCATTTACTCTTCTAGTCTTATGGTTGAGAGCAGAGATGTCTGTTTTGTTTAGGGCTCTCTTCCCAACACCCACAGTAGTGTCTGGCACGTAGTAGGCGCTCAGTAAATGTTGCTTGAATTAATTAATTGTCAGATCCACTTGAGTTGATCTGAGTTTAGAAGGGAATATGATCAAATAATGCAAGGACAACAATGCAAGGCTGCGACAAGGAAGACTTTGGAAAGTGTGCTGTGCAATTTGAGGTTTATTCTGCAAGCTGGGGGAACAGTTAAAGGGAACTGAGCCAAGCAACAGAACAGAGAAATGAAGTCAGGGATAAAAGAAATCATGCTTTAAGAATAATGATGAAAGGAAAACTTTATTCTTTAACAGAAAAACAGTAGTCTGTCTTTGTCAAGCTGAATATGCTCATTGATACCGTGTGGGCTGCTAACAATTACCAGGGGTGGAACATTGGGACCTATTTTCAAAACGGTTTTAAAAATTCGATAGACTCCTGAATAGAAGCATGAAAATATACTCTTTGATGAGATTGATAGTGATGCGTTATGAATGTCCATAACTTAAAGTATAGATGTGTTCCCTAAAATTTGTATGAAAAAGTCTACTAAATGCAATTGGTAGTAGTATTTTAAAAAATCAAACTTGGAAAAATCTATTTTTTGAGGGTAAATTTCTAGAAATTCGAAGAACACAGGCCTCACTTATCTGTTTTGTCAGCTGGAACTGGGAGACTTTCTCTAGGCTGTACCACACCTTACCCCCCCAACCCCGTTTTTACAGAAACAGACTAACAAGAAAACCCCTGAACCACCAACTATTAACATTTCGGTAAAACAGCACATCTTGGTGTCTGTATTATCACTTTGAAAAACTCATTTTCTCTTTGCAGTACAACCGGTACCAGCAATATGGCGCCGAAGAGTGCGTGCTGCAGATGGGGGGCGTGCTGTGCCCCAGCCCGGGCTGCGGAGCAGGGCTGCTTCCTGAGCCCAGCCAGAGGAAGGTCACCTGCGAAGGGGGCAGCGGCCTGGGCTGCGGGGTGAGTACCAGCCACACCCCTGGCTTTTGACCATGTATTTGTTTGCTTTGGCAAATTGGCTAGGATTGCTTTATTTTCATTTTCCATTTGGACTCAGACATCTCTGATATATAAGAAAATAGATTTTTAAATACTTAACAGGATACCATATATATATATTGAAAGGGAGGTAAGATTTTCTGCTTTAATTGCTATCCAGGTGTTTAAGACGTGAATTACTTGGTCAGCCTTTTAAACTTTTCTTCCAGTGCTCAGCTAATTCAGAGCAAAAATGTGTGATTTCTTAACGCAGGCATTAAGTAGACAGGAGTGGAGGAGAAAGAGAATTCCTCACCTTAGCGTGATGTCTTAGTAACATTGTTTGCCTAAGTATTTCAAGAAATAAAATGAAGATTAATGTGGAAAACTTGAAATGTTATTGTGTCGTAAAACTAATTTTAAATCGAGATGAGCAAAACTTAATGGTGCCTCTTAGGGAAGCAGAATAAGAAACAAGGAAAATGTTTGTTCTAAGAGGTCAAACCAGTATGACCTAGACAGCTTCTTGAATGGATCTATGGCTGCGAGCTGACGGCGAAGGGGTGAGGGGAGCATAAATCAAACGCAAGTAGGCTGACTAAATTATAGGTTGAAGTGACAAATGAATAATAATCCTGATATTAAATTTCATGCAGGCCAGAAAAAGAAGTGTATGTGCTTATAAAAAGGTTATTGAATTGTGTTGGGAAAGCATTTCTTTTAAAATTGCAACTTCATGACGAGTTTTGTGGATGGCAGGAGGGGTATTACCCGAGCCTGATTTTTGGCTGAGCATTGTGATTTGCCTGTGCATAAACTGACATCTGTCACCCTTCGTAAAGCTCCGTATCGGTCATGGAGTGCAGCTTAACGAGCCCTGGGCTGAGTGATAAAGCACAGTAAGTGGAAGGTGAGAAATAAAGAGACACCACGATGCCTAAGCAGAACGAAATACCTCTGGATTAATAATGGTGATTGCATTAGGATGAAAACTCAAGTCATGTCTGCTAGCCTTAGCAATTATGGAAATCAAATTCCACTTCCCAGCTTTAGTCATCGTCACTTACTGTATAATCTGCACCGATTGCACGTAGCCTCAGCAAGCTGCCAAATTCTGGGATCAGAATTTCTAGCAAATGTTTTCTTTTGAAATGAGTTACAGTAGCTTTTAACTAATGGCTCAATTATATGCTTCTACCTGCTAACAGCTCCTGTTGTTCCATTCTCTAAAGCTGGGGGTTCCTTTGGCCCATCTTCTGCATTCAGTTGTTCATCTTGCTCTAAGAATTTTGAAGGTTTATGTAATTTAAGATTTGAACATCTTTCTCTTCACATTTTTACACAACGTGACGTTATAAGTAACACACATATTTGAACTCCAAATCATGGAAAATTACCTTGGAAGTAAATTGAATTGCTTTAAGATCTTTGGGTTAAGAGAGTTTGGGGGCAAAATCCTTACCTAAAGGAGAGTGATTATCTTCAGGATGTTTCTTTGGAAGTTCTAGGCAATGTGTTTTATTTTTATTTATTCTGTTTTGTTGCTGTGAAGGTGGTAGGGGATGCTTGTTGTTTCATATATTACTTATCTATTGCTGCATAACAAATAAGCCCAAATTTGAACCTTTTAATTAATAAACATTTTTATCTCACAGATTCTGAGGGTCAGGAATCCCTGAGTAGCTTAGCTGGGTGATTCTGGCTGAGAGTCCCATGAGGTTGGAGTCAAGCTCAGCTGTAGTTAACCCAAGGCTTGACTGGGGCTGGAAGATCCACCTCCAAGATGGCTCGTCCACATGACTCTTGGCCAAAAATACCTCAGTTCCTCACTGGCTAGTGGCCCTCACCACATGGCTCTCTTCTTAGGCTAGTTGTCCTCAGAATGGTAGTTAACTTACCTGGAGCAACTGATCCAACAGACAGAGCAAAGATAAAGCCACAGTGACCTGCTCTCCAAGTCTGTACACCATCACTTCTGATTTATTCCGTTGGTCAGCACTGAGTACTAGATCCAGCACGCCCCTCAAAGGGAAGGAAATTAGGCTCCATCTTAAAGGAAAGGGTATCAAGGAATACATGGACATATTTTGATCCACCACTGTTTGTAATTTGAAGAAGCTGAAAAAAGAACAAAGAGAAATGATTTTCTAAACCATGCGCTTAACCTGATGCTTTCTTTTCCCTCCCTGCCTTTTAGGCCCCAATCCCCGTAAGCTTTTTCAGACTGATACAAATTCCCATTGCTTTGCCTTCTCAAAAGACATAAATTGACCTCATCATTGCTCTTTTTCTTCAAATCCTCAACTTTCACAAAAGGGTGTTAACCCAACTTACATGCCTTTGGGATTCTTGTAGTGGTTAAAAAGAAGATTGGGGGCTTCCCTGGTGGCCTAGTGGTTGGGAGTCCGCCTGCCGATGTAGGGGACGTGGGTTTGTGCCCCGGTCCGGGAGGATCCCACGTGCCGCGGAGCGGCTGGGCCCGTGAGCCATGGCCTCTGAGCCTGCGCGTCCGGAGCCTGTGCTCCGCAACAGGAGAGGCCACAACAGTGAGAGGCCCGCGTACCGCAAAAAAAAAAAAAAAAAAAAATGACTTAGATCCAAATGCTGGCTGTATCTGCTACCAGGGGTCTTAATCTTTCTGTGCCACAGTCCCCTCACCTCTAAAATACGGTGTCTTGTAATGACCCTGTATGAGACCATTATGAATATTAAATGAGCTAATGGATATAAAATGCTCAGAACAGTGCCTGGCATTATGTATATATTTATTTAATATTTAATCAAAAGCTTAATCAGTATGAATCAAAAGCTCACCTGAAAGACCTAATATTCATGGAAAATTAACTACAGGACACTGGTTTGGTCCTCTCTTCCAAATATTCTAAAATATACCCCTGAATCAAGCCAGATCTACAGCAGGGAATTAGGTACCCGGGCCTCACTATTTTAGCCCTTCAAAGAATTGCTTTCCCTA